ATATAACCACATAACAAAAAGAAAATTGTTAGATACAAGTTAAAATGTACAAACGGCGTTATTGGCACTACGAAGCATACGGCGCAACAAATGGTTGTAGCCATAGGAGGTGGAGTGAGTTAGAATATGGAAAGGTGTGTGATGCCTTAAGGGATATGTAATTAGACAGGCAATTAATAGAGGATAGGAGGCCAGGGGCATCTATCGACCCACCAAGTAAACCTTGAATGAAACGATAATCGGCATCGATTCGACGAGAAGAGAGTGTTAGGATATTTAGTGATCTAATTATGGTTGAGTAGTCATGTTGGGGATGGTCAATTTTGAGTAAGAAAGCAATACATGAAATAAACCTATTCTATTGTAATAATTGTATGCAATAAGTATAGGCAAATTGTAAGTACATTATTGTCTGTTACAGTGCATTTATAAATATCTATTTATATTGTTAATATATAAAACATACACGTTAACAAAAACATGTGGTTTAAACCCACAGAAAATTATTACACTAATAAATATCCAGTTATTGCTCGACATAAAGACACCTATGAATAAAATTTTTTGACTGGTTCAAAAATGTGTTTTTCCTAAGTATTCCAAAATATTTTTCTGGAATAGGACTACAACGGGTCACATACAATTTTCTTAAAAATCTGTAGTGACACTTTGTTTTATCAAGGAAAAACCAAACTAAAGGGGGAAATTACATTTTTACAGTATGAAGTTCGAGTAAGGGTGAATCAACAGTCAACAACTGGTATCCGAATTATATTTGCAATAGGATGTAGGTTTTTTTTTGTCCATATACACTGTATTTGTTTTAACACTGGACTAATTCCTAATTGCCGGAAAACTGTGTTTTTCGCAGATGTTAAATCTTTTAAAAAAAAATGATCAAATCATGCCAATATTTTAACGGATACTATTTAGTTTTTTATGCCAGTTAGTTTTGAGTGTTGAAGTACGATAGTCATGCTTAAGGTTATGTTACCATTTGTTTTACTGACTATTAAAGGCAGGTTAGGTTTGTATAATAATAACATATTATCTATATGAGCAAATCGTATGAGAAGAGTATATTATTTAAAAAATGTACTAAAACATTCTCATGTGTGCACGAGTGCCGAAATTGTATGTTTTTCGAAAATGTATTCGATTTACTATAATCTTGGCATTTTCAATATTAAAAGTCTTACCAAAGAAAATATATTGCACATGGAAAACCCCGAAATTTCGACAACCCCCATCCCCCCGGGAGAAAGGCTGAACGTTTTTGAAATTCAATTGGCGCAATTTGAATACTTAAGATCTGGAAATTGAAGTGTTGCTATGCAAAACGTGTTATCTCCAAAAACCACTTTTTTCAGAGATTTTCCATATCAAAAGAACTAAATAAGCTATAGCATATGTTGAATACTTATATGATTCAGGATGATGATTAGAAAAAAAAAATGTTTGCGAAATAAAAATAAAAATATTTTTTCACTACTTTTTAAATGATTTTAAAATAAGATTTGGTGCAAAACGTGTTATTTCCAGACATTGCGGGTTTCGCAAAAAATCTCTGCCCGAGTCCGTACATATTAACAATCAACCTACTAATCGTGTCTATAGTTTAATACAATTTTAATTATATTATATTAATTTCAACGCGTTTGTCGATATTTGTATGTTTTTAATCCATCTACAGAGTCGCATGGAAGTCTTTATTTTAAAGCGATTGTTATCATTACCAGCAATAACAAGAACCTAACCTAACCTAACCTACAAAAACGTTACAGTATCACTTTGAAATTTTTAATTTACACTGTACTGGATCAAATAAACATTTTATTCAAAGCGCTGTCGTCTAGTGGAAGATAAAAACCTCAAATTTAAGCCATCGTTGCACGAGCAACTATTTAATGTTGGTACGAACAGCTGATGTCCAGTCATATAACTTATTACTGTTTTCTGTACCAGCTATTTAAAATGTTTTGTGACAAATGACAATTGATAGTTTGTTATCTACAAAGTAGTTTCTACGTCTTTGAATGCTTATAAATTTTTTCATCAAATTTGACCATCGACCACCCTACAAATATACACTTACCCACCTACCAAATAAGCAAAGGGTAGGGCAAGTTACACTGATTATATATGAGAATTTGCAAATACCATATCAACAAATAGTTGATAACGATAAATAAATATTGAGTATGTATTGTGGTCGTACAAAAATAAGTATTAACGCTCAGTGGCACCCTTCTTGTTATTTTATACTATAGATATTAAAGAAGCGTAGCATGAGTATATATATACTTGTTTACCTTATAAGGCAACCGTATGTGTTTTTACAATTGTAAAAACGCTAAAAATTTGCTACTCGACTGTATGAAATGAAAAAATCATGACAACACAATGTTACTCACAGTACGAAGAAGAGTACTACCCTAATGGACATGGTGCTAGATGTTCTTGGATGGTTAGGAGTGCAGATGATTGTCTAGAGAGCCTATATTGATAATGAATAATAAATCCCACGGAGGCTTGAAGTCTTCTGCTCGAAGCAGGTCACGCGAAGACCACTTAATCTTGTTTGTGGGTTCATAATTGGCGTATTAGTTGAATAGTAAATTGTATTATATTATATTAAATTATATAATATAATCATATACTAATTGTCAGTATACTGTATCTTTATCTCTTAAAAATCTTTAAGCAAGAAGCACCAGACACTCGCTTGTTTTGTAGGTGGTTTCTGATCTGAATGATAGCTAGACTTACACTACACTTGATCAGTACTTAGCTTGCAAAATGTTTTTCCAAAACTCGACATGAATTCCGTTCACTAGTTACAGCCTATGGGTACTATGGATTATAATAACATTACTTTAAGACGTATTGCAATGGCTCGACACCGTGGCCGGCGCAGCCAAGCACCCCCCCTAGAAATCGCTGTGCACTGACCTCCACATTCTGAGGCCGGCGTAGCTAGTCACCCCCTCGGAATCTGTGACCAACCTGCTCAATTCGGGGGTCTGGGAGCTGAACCTTCAGCTAGAGCGAAGCTCTAGTTATAATTTATAAGTACAATTCCTTATCAGTTATCGCATCGAAGCTAAAAGCAAGTATAGTATAAGAAAATTTTAAATTTTGTGTTCAAAATTGTATAAAAATACATACCATAAGTGTTAAAATTCATCTTTTAACATGAAAAACTCAATAAAACCATTAAATTTTCCATTTAAGTATTGGAAGTAGCAAGCTGTATTGAGACAAGACAATAACTTAAAAGTTATCTAGATAACCAAATAAACGTAAAATAATTACAATATTTTAATTAAGATAAACCTCAACACTGTTTGCAAGTTCACTAAACTTGTTCAAAATCATATTAAAATAAAATATACTTAATATTTAATTTGCAAGTCCACCAAAATGGAAATTAAATAGTTTAGTGTATTGTGTTTTAAGATATTTTTTAATACATTTAGTGAACTCTCTAATTAAATAACACCATTTGCTAAATAAATAGTTAACCAAATTAATTATGTTAGTAAACCAAATTAGGCAAAAGTTATTTTATAACTATATTTTGGTGCAATTTATTTTGTTGTAATCATAATTGTAGGACAATTGTCAGTTGTTCTCCAGTTTTAGTTTAACCCATTTCAGGCCAATCGCATACGCACCATTGGCCAGAAATGGGTTAGTGAAAATTGTATGGAAAAAAATTATATTTTAAGACTTATAGAAAAATAAAACTTTCATAATTTCTATTACTAACGATAATTGTATAGTTTTTCCTCCCCAGCCTATTTCTCAATATTATCGACTAGTCTTTTTTTTTTTTTTTGTACTGGATATTAATGATACATCTAATGTATATTAAAATATTCAATAATATATATTTTTTTTAACCGGATATTTATGGTATAATAAATATAAAAGGCAATATTAAAAGATGGACACTTTGGAAATTTCTGATGAAGGAAATACTAACTTCATTTGAGTTAGGCAGTCTTATTACAGGAGAGTATACAAGACTAGTGCTATCAAGTTATTTGTGTTGTGTTATTTATTTTAACACCAATTCCACTGTTATCACTCTACATATTAAATATTAGTGTTTAGTATTTCATCAATATAATATATATATTTTTTTTTTCTAGAAAAATTTTAACGAGTAGAACGACATTTTTTTTCAATGTATTCAGAATTCTTTAACCAGAGGTCCAAATTCGGGGTTCCACCTCATAATAAGTAAAATTTTATTTTATACTCTGAACTTTTGTTGTATAAAATGCGCTAGTAGTATTATTTACCTTTAATTCCCAGATTTTGTGTATTATTCAATGCGTTAGACGTAAAATACCTTGAATTTGTGTGGTTTTGCACAGACAATTTTCTTTGTTTTTAGTGTCTTTTTTTTTTAGTTTCGTAGCGAGGTAAATAACAAAGTAGTACACACGTACACGTAAAGTATACAACACGAGTAGTAGCCCGCAAAAAACAATTCTCTAAATCAATACACATCCACATAAACAATTTTACAAGTTTAGAATTTAGCACACAATAATGCGTTGGTAAAAAAATTTGAAATCGGCATTGTTTTTGATTTAAAATATTATGTAGGATTAGTTTTCGTACCCTGCATTGTTCTTATTTCAATGATATATTCTAAGTCAATCTAATACCATTGTGGTTGACCAGCCAGGATTTCCATGACTGGCTTTTTATATATAATATATACTAGACTGTTTTATTTAGTCACTCATCGTTAGAACTCTGTTTAGGTTATGTTACCTCTAATATCAAATCTCTATATAATAACCGTTAAGATGAATATTATCTATTAGAAATATAAACGACGAGCCTGGTGGAAACATAAGGAAAGGATTTAAAAGCAGTAATAAATAGTTGGAATAGATTAGATGAAAAAATACAACCTTACTTATTCGGTAATTATTAATTTTATTGGTAGACATGATATGACACATAAATAGACATATGAAATTACTGTACAAAAAAATGTATTATAAGAAATATGTGATTGAAAAAATCCAAAGACGGTTGTTTTGCCGTCAGTTTAAATATATGTATTATTTCAGATTTTATAGTGTATATAGTGACAACAATAAGATAAATTATAATTTATTATGCAAAGAACAGAACACAGATGACAGTGTTTTTCTAACATTAGGTTATTATGTGGGTGCAACTAGTGGTTGTCCACGTTCTAACTGTCGCTCGAGTGATTCTCGTACATGGCCATTTTCGTATATTTCTGACCACGTGCCTTCGATTTTACTGTATTTCTTTTCGTCATCGTGTACATTCTTTAAGATACATGTACCGGCAGTTGAATCAACGTTAACTTCTACTATGTATGAATTTGGAGATTGTGTACTCCAGTACAATCCAAGCAAACGACAGTTGGGTAACGACAAAACATCCTGCTGAGATCCTGATAAAAAATTTGAAAAAGTTCTTTAATATTAGCTTGCTAGTCACTACTTATCCTTATGGTACAGAAAACCATTATTTTATTTGTTAACACGAAGTCATAAGAAAATAACACAATAAGCATGGTGTCGTATTGAACAGCCATGATACTTGTATTACATGAAAGTACGTGTTAGTAGTTATAATTTATTTAGTTAAATGTTAAAATCTAAAATAAGTTGTATCCTTGTTCCTATTAAATAACTTAAAAAATATATATATATAAAAATATATTAATAGCGTTTAAAAACTATACAACTCCATACAAATATTTACCTAATATACGACTTCTGATTAAACGTTTTATAGACCAAGCAACAAATTCTCTAATCATGTTTATAAAGCCTTCCAATGTACTCCCATCTATGATAATAATAATTATTAAAAGACCGTGTTGCGGAGAAATAATTAAGATAAATAATATATTATTCACAAATTGTGATACAACCAACTTTTTGTACAACCACAAATTATTGTTGAAACTCAACAAATGTACTCTTTCTTCACTTCAAATCCCAAAAAATGTATTACACATTAACACTGTAGTCTCACTTTCTCTCCCTCTCTCCTCAACAAAAAGTTGAATTTATTACAATTGTTTTCTGACATAAAAAATAAAATTAAGCAAAGATCAAATCTAAAACAAGCTTTTAAGGCTATTTATGAATATCGAACAAATCGTAATTACCATCAGTTTCCAAACCATGTATTCTCATACCTGTAACAAAAACATCAAACACCAAATTATTATGCAGTTAATAAAACCAGGTTTATAAATATTATACATAAATATTTACTCTATAACTGAGGTAAATTATATCAATATTAATGCAATATTTTTTTGTATGAAATATGTAAATTTACACCTTATAACGATTTTTAAATAAACGGTTTAAATTTTATGTCGAATAATTCTTAAAAGGTTTTTTATTAAAACTAAAAAAATACGTAACTATTTTGTTTTATAATAAAAAAAATACATTCTTTTTTATATTTACCTACTATACTCTCTAATTCGTTAACCATTATGGCCAAAAATTGATTGGCTTCTAAAATTTAAAACAAACTACATTTAATGTACATTTATTTTTAATGTACCCACATATATTTTATTATTGAAACCAAAATATCATATTGGTATTTGTCAATAGGTACATATTATCATTCTCAAAGTAATTATAAATAATAAATATGTAATAAGTATAATACATGTTATATATCAAAAAAGGTTTTTACTTGGATATGGACGAGGTGGAGGCTCTGAAATTAAAACAAAAATCTTGTGTGCATAAAGAATATAAAACAACTGTTTGGAAACGCTTCCATAAAGTGCAATAAAAAATTATTACCCTGTACTTCCAGGAGAATTTCTAAATGGTCTGAAATTAACAACACAAAAATTAATGTTATTGCATTTACTTTTCTGTTCTATTATAAACATGAAGATGAATTTCAAGGAAGAAAAAACATGTGCGCTAGTAATTTGGAAGACGTATGCTTCACTGTATATTCAATACGATGAGCGTCTCTTTGGAGAATTCAGTAGGAATGAAATCTTGGAAATAATTTTATAAAATTTAACAAAATCTATTACCCGGTACAGCCATCAAAAAACAAATTTTGCCTGAAATTAACATTAAATAAATAAATGATATTGAATTGAATTTGCTATAATAAATTACTAGTTATTATATTATATATATTTATAAATTAAAAGACAAAGTAGAAAAAACTATATTATATAGACATGTTGATGCAGTTTAGGCGATGAGAATAAAATATATTATTCGGACGAGGTTGATAGAGCTAACATCAGTATTTTTTCATAAAGCTTCTATTCAACGTTCGCTGAGAAATATGATAATTATAACACTAAACAGTTGCATAAAGTAAATAGGAGATATGACATTTTTATATTATTTTCAAATATTTTTTTCTACTCTTGTCTTGATGATTTTTATTATTATTATAATTATGATTACGGAAATTTTGGTATTTATTGACATTATTGATATCATCAACCATTTTCTCAATTTGATGCTCCAATCCATCTAAAACAAATAAATGAAAATTTTTGCTATACTAAAATATTAAAATTAAATCAAATTAGGCAAGACGAAGCTTCTATATATATATATATATATATATATATATATATAGTATATATATATATATCAATATATAATTTGAAATATAATGTCTTACTTGCTCCAGGTCTACCTTCTACAGTTAAATCCTTGTGATAAGCTACTTGGATGAGTCCAGCTGTGATACATAATTTAAAAAAAATGTATAAAAACAGTGGATTTTAAAAACATTTGTTTATAAAATAAAAATATTACTGACTTGTAAAACACATCAAATTTGTATATATCTCTGTAAAAAAGTGTAATATTAATTTTTTTTCAAATTTTAACTACCTTATGATGATAACTGCGAAAATAAAATAATTACCACGTTCTCCTGCCAATACATTCTCGAAGAAAATAGATATTAATAAACAGAAGATTTTCATTTTTATCTGCGAATAATAATGATTAAAAAAACATTTTATATTAGTCAAAGTTACCTCCGGTTCAGAGATGAGAAGGTTATAGTTTTGCGAGGCCGTTTTAATATGATTAATATATACATATATATGTAAAAACATTTGTCTACTTGACCCACAATTTTTTCTATACCGCTAACTGATTTTTTTGTATAAAAGATAGAAATCAAACTCGAAATGTTGATTATTTGGCCAAAATTACAGTAATTTCACAATACTGAGGATTGACAAAAATAAAAATAAGTCTGTGGAACCTGGGCCACTGAAGTAGTAACGTACATATTGGATTAATTTTTTGAACTAAGCTTAATTTGCTGAATATTTTGACTGGTCGATAACCAGTCGGAATGTTCAGCAAATGTTTCTTAATTTAAAAATTTAATAAAATATATACGTTACCATTTAAAATTCTGAAATTCATACGGTTTTAACATATATGGAATGGGGTTATATTTTTCAAAAATATATTTAATTTGTCCCAACTAATAACTAGTTAAATTATTTAAAAAAAATAGAATTAAAAAAAGTCTAATATCTTCTAAGTTATTGACTGGTCCATAGTTAATTACTTATATCAAAAATAACAAGAAATTAATATACAGGATAAGGCAGTAAAACGGCGATTTTCTAATGTATTTAAATGGTAAAACTCGTTTCACTATCCCACCCTTTACATTTTAAGGATCTATAAAAAGGTTTTTTTAGTTGCATTTTATTTTGTACCTTGTCAATCTAGTAAAATAGAAGTATAATATAGCTTTGAAATAATATAATCTGTGAAGTATAAATAGTTTGTGTGAGATTGCTTTAATGGAAGTATATAATACATAAATATTAATTTTAATGAGAATAAGCGATTATAATTTAAACTATGGAGTACAAACGATTGGAACATGAATCGTCGACCATTCCAACAAAATATAACAAGACATTGTATATGTGTTATTTGGTCCACTAAGTTTTTGCAAAAAAAAAAAAAACCAGTACAGTGGGGTCGGTGCATAGTGGGGACGGAACATATTTGGGTCGGGGCATATCGGGGATGGGGAGGTCACAGGTTTACAGGAATTTTTAAATCTGAAAGTAATAAAATCACTTTCGAAAAAACGCTGAATGAAGGTTCTGTATTTACAAATGAGCATCAAAGCGTTTATTTGAAAGCGATTTTATTCAATTTTATCACTTTTATTTATAATAACTCTTGTAGACCTGTGACCTCTCCGTTTCTCATTGCTTTGATTACATTATGCCAATACTCTACTGTACTAGTCCTCTCGAATAAAATCACAACTATATTCAACTTGTAAGTACATTTTGTTTAGCCATACTTCGGCAATGCAGAAAAAAAAAGCATATTTTGCAGCGCAACGTTGTTAGTTTATTTACAAAACAGTTTTTAGCATCGATGCCGAGCTAGTATTCCTATGGTGTGTGTTTTTTTTATCTGTAAACACGATAATATGTTATTCTATGGCCCGATTTTCATAAGATACTCGAAATTATATGTGGTTGGTTCAAAAGTAGAATAAGTCTACTTAATCACTAACTGATTCGATAAAAATCTAAAAAAAAAAATGATTAGTTTTTCTTGTTAGTTTTTCTAATTAGTTTTTTTTTTTCAAAAAATGGTATTTAGTTTTAAAACTGATTTAAAATAAATAAATTTAAAGAAATTTTGTTTTATATGTTTAATATATCAAGAATAAATTATAATTTTGTATATTATTATTAGACAAACGTGTTTAAAATTCATCTATTTCTGTTTGAAAGCGTACTTACAACTTTTGAAGTCTGATAGTATTACTTGGAATAGTTGATTAAATGTTATCGAAGGTCTAATGCGGACAAATAAGTACAATTTATTAAAACATATTAAAAGTTTACAGTTTTACCATTTTTGAAATTTTGGTAGTATTACTTACTTAAAAAACTGCAACAATAGTCAAACCGGCTGCTGCAAAGGTTTACTTACGACTTGCCGAATGGCCTTTATTGTGTCGTCCAAAAAAATAAAATCTAGAAGTATTTTTCAAAATTGTTTATGCGAATTTATTTACACAAGCAACATTCGATATTTACATTATTCTAAAGCGGAGTATAACTGGGTCTGTATCAACAGTAACTTTGCATCAACATGTTTTTGTGTGATTCAGAATAATAAACCAACAAGCGCCAATGCAAACAGTGTGAATCACTTTGTCTGTAATACTTAAGTAACCATTTTAGTAGCTCGGTGACGTTATTTCTGGGATTCATTTTGTTTACATAGTTGCTGTAAAGAGGCCTGAAAAACACCAATACATTATGGTTGTGTGGCCGAAAACATATTTTGTTGTTATTTGTTTTCATGCGAAAAGCTACGGATCTTAAGCACAAGTCGCCATCTAGTTTGTTCAAGTGTTTATTTTTCGGCAAAAATAAAACATAAATGTTGTTTTCAACTTTTGATTATTTACCTACCGCTAGATTTGTATTCTTTTAGTCACGCATTTTTTACAAAACATCGAGTGTAATAGTTTATTTGAACAGCTAAATTTTGAAACAAAAAAAAAACCACTGATTTAAGTTTTTCTTACCTATATACTGTGTAATTAAACACTTAAACTAAGTTTATTGTAATCATTCAATATCATAGCTTTTATGGTCATAATAATTTGTATCGTATTCCTTATAAACCAATAAACCATCTTGATAAATAAACCTATTATTCGAACATAATATGAAATTTTAAGCGTCAAATATTTAGTTATACAGAAATGTTAATAGAATACAATTTAATTCTAACAATGTAATATGATTACAATAATTAAAAATTTTTTTTTTTTGCAAAACAAAAACACAAATTTATATATAACTTCCCTCACTTTTATTCAATATTTGTAAAAGTGACATAGCCTTTAATCAGCACTTTGCTAAGCTATATTCTTTTGCTGATGATTGCAAATTACTTGGATCTATTAAATCAATTAATGACTCTTACTTATTACAGTGTGACATTAATGCAGTTGAGAGATTTGAAAGTGATTTTATTCAATTTTATCACTTTTATTTATAATAATTCCTGTAGACCTGTGACCTCTCCGTTTCCTCATTGCTTTGATAACATTATGCCGATACTCTACTAGTCCTCTCGGATAAAATCACTTTCAAATAAACGCTTTGATGTTCATTTGTAAACACAGAACCTTCATTTAAAACTTTCTAATTTTGCTGGTTTATACTGTGCTTGGTTTGGACTTTACTGGCTTGAAAATATTAATTACTGATTCGCATCGAAGCGTTTTTTCGAAAGTGATTTTATCACTTTCAGATTTAAAAATTCCTGTAAAACTGTAACCTTCCCGTCCCCACTATTCCCCGACCCAACTATGCTCCGTCCCCACTATGCCCTGACCCCACTGCACTGTTTTTTTAGTTTAAAATGTTCTTAAGTCGGAAATTGTTCAGACTTATTCGCCAAAACAGTTCACGAAATTGAATTTATTTATTAAAAATCGGATTGGTAATCACCGGATAGACCGGGCCACATAACTGTGTAAGGTTAGAAAGTTAGTACCTGTCTCGGAGGTGTAAAAAAAAATACACACTTATCAAAAATAATATCCCAAATGAATCATTTCTTACGAGCAATAGATTAGTTAAGGGTCATGCTAATCAATTCATTGCGTTGGACGGTATAATCATGTTGGTTGTGTATTTAGCGGGTTTGTTTCCCTAGTACTATGTAGAAAATATTATTGGAACATTACCTACTTATTGCTTATTTATTTTAATAGTTTCTCGGTCGTTTTAATGTACAAATTGTATTTGATGTAAATAATTAAAAACGTGTGCGAAGATACGCACTTGTGCCAAAATACGTCTCTCTTACTTTTAGCTTTGTATAGATAAAGTTGGCCTTGTACACGAATTTTCTACTTTAAATACAAACTATTTTTCGTTGCTAACCCAAAATAAACACTTGGTTTTTAATCATGGTAACCGCGGTACTCGAGCGAATGGTAGGTGATAAAAGGAACAGACCGATTCTATGTCTTGATAATATTTCTTGCAAGTTTTTAAAAGAAACTGCATTCATTTTGTCTGCAATTATACATTTTTTGTTAAATAGTATATTGTGTGTTTAACATACATAACGGATATTTGATCATAAAGTTTTAGCTATAACTGACACAGGTATTTGGCTATCAAAGTTAAAATTGATATCAAATTTATTAATATACAATAATTCTCTCTTTAAAAAGTTGTAATTCTATTAATTTGTATTTAATGAATTCAGTAAATCAAGTAAATTATTTTTTTGAACTTGCCCAAGACAATTCTTATTGTTAATTTTATTTATTGAATTTGATTTGATTTTGTTAGATTTGTTTAATTACCAACGATTGTTAAAAAAAAAAAAAAATCAGTATAATAGAAGTTGAACAATTTCAAATTCAAATTTATAGTCATTGTTTTTGTTTCATATTTTTGATTGAATATTCTCAAAATAGTAATATTTGTAATTTTTTAATTTATTGTTATACTAATAACAGTTTATTAGTTAAATACTTTTATTATCAGACAAAAAAGAATTATTGTTCTTTAAATGTTATACTATACTATCTATTCGTCGTTGAAATTTATCAATACAATTGTTTTACTATGTGTTATCAATATTTAAATTTTGTAAAGTACACACAACAAAAATTAATGAAAATTGTTTTTAAATCTTTAAAGTAGGAAAAATGTCGCATACGTATTACAGCAAATATTCTTTTAACCATTATTTGTATCATTAAATGTAAACAAATTTTATTTATAACAACTATGCATTATAAGACAAAGTCAGTTTAATTGATTTTATAATTATTTGTATTTAAACATAAATATAGCATACGTACATGTATGTGTATAAAATCGGACAAACTTGTCGCGTACCAATTCCGTAAAATTGAAATCCTCAAAAATGTGTTTTATTACAACATAATTGTTAAATTTAGGGACTACAATTTAGCAAAGGCTATTATCGATTTAAAAATTGTTACTTTTACATAATCTTAGTAAAACGTAACCGTTATAATAGTTTAATAATGTCAATACTTTAATTTGTATGGTAAACAAGGAAATATCCAATAATGGTTTTCTTTTTAAACAACTAAAATCTATTAAGCTTTTAATTTTCTGGATATTAAATAGCATAGGAAATATTAAATCTAAGAAAATACTGATTGTAATATCAAAATAAACGGATTCAACTGTAAAAGAATTAACTTATCAATTTGAAACTTTTGAAACAGGCATATTTTATTATAAAGGCTTTAGAATCACTATTATAACATTATACATATCTTATAAGCTATAGTAATATTTAGTAAGTACTAATAAAAGGATTAGAAACATATAAACTATTTAATTTAATGGTTATTAATAAAATAAAAAAGACAAGTTCTAATCGTTTAATGTTTGCGTGACACAAAACCTAACTTTATTTCTGAAGTTTGAGTATCATTGTGTGATTTTGTGTAATTGAGTCACAAACTATTGCTCCATATTTTTACTAATAGAGTCTTAATAAGAAATAACTTAACTTGAAAAAAAAAATATTAATGATGTTGAAAAATTTACCGTTACAGAAAAATCAAATCTATTTTGCCAACAGGATGGGAAAAACAGAAAAAAAGTAAAAGTACTTTGGAACACAGTTTGGAACTTAAATTAAGTCGATAATTAATACAATTTCAAACTTAACTGTGATTTTGTTGTAGCTTCCTTAAACACTGTTTACAAATATCTAGTCTTTAGACAACTTAATCATTTAAACACAGTCCACATTATAGCATTATTTTATTAATAAAGTTGTTTATATAAAAAAAAAAAAGTTAGTTATAAATGTAAAATAGGCAACATTTTAAATATTTACTATAGGTCTGTCAACCTACCTGTCATGACGGAGTGTTAGAAAAGTCGGTAATCTGTAGATATAAAACGCTGGTCAACTAAACTATCGGACAACGCGATAATAAATAAGTATTTTTATTGGCTCCCGGTCTTTGGAAAACCAAAGAAATATAACAATATTTCAGAGAAAATGTAATATCTTTACAAAAGCAAAGCTAACGACTAGATGGATGAAAATTTAAAATTTAAACGATAACATATTTTAAAATTTCTTAACTACAAATTTATGGAATTAAAAACATATGTTGCCATTTGAAAACGTACACTTAGACCCTTTTTATCGTATAAGGGATGAAAATAAAAACTTTCAAAACATTGAAAAATATCGTAAAACTTATACCTAAAATAATAGGAAACAAAAATTTCAAAATATTTATATTTCCCGAGAAAATTAGTGTCTTACGTTAGCTGGATCATTCTGTATATTGCTATAAGAACTGATACTAGTTAACACATTATTATGATCATTGTGTTATTTGAATTGATTAATTAAATTGGTGTTGGTTTTATGAACAATATTAATAACTGTAATATTTTATTTAAATATGAATAAGTATATTATTTAATATATCACATAATGGGTATTTCATATAAATTATCAACTGTATTCGGTCCATAACGATTGTGAAATCTTTCCATTCGTTCATATGTTGTCGCTGCAAAACAAACAATTTCATTATAAGCATTAAATGTCTGAATAATTTTAAGGCATCTTAATAGTTACAGGCTTGGACTTCGTGTCTCGGCCCTGATCCATCCTTATACCCATTTTCAGGCATTATTGTCCTGGGAATACCATCGACCCCGTCGTACACTGTTTTCGAATTTCCAGAGCAGAGCACAATCTTCCGTAAAAACAATATTGCATTATTCATATTTATGATATAATTATTAAAAATAAGACTTTCATTTAAGTGTTAATTTGATGCTTATACCTTTTCACGAAGACCTGGAGATAAATAACGTGAGGCTACTTTAAATGCCCAATTCACCACAAAATTTGTATTTAAAATGTAAATATTTTTTATCCGCGTCGGTGGTGCCTCCTTATAAAATTAAACAATAATGTCAAAAAAAATCATATCGCGATGTGATTTTTTATAACATGCCATTATAATTGTGGCATGCATCATTTCATACACTCCAACAAAAAATCAACCGTAAAAAAGGGCCAAGTTCCAATACTCACTTTTTAAAAAAGTCAGCCTATCAATGCAATGACACATTGTGGCCAAGCCTACTCTTTCTTTGGTCCA